ATAATCCTATATGAACGTGGTCTTTCTGCTTCTTCTATAATTTTCCCTCTTTCATTTAGTTTTTTCCCTTTCTCTTTTATGTAAACATGATCTTCTGTTTTCAGTGGTTTTAACGGTCTTGCATTCCTATCATAATGACTTTTTTGTAAGGTTTGTCCCTTCAGTAAATGCTGTTTATGGTCTTCATATTGTTTAGCTTGGACAAAATTCTCTTTTATAGGCATCAATCCATTTACTTTTCTTCCAAACATCAATTTTGAAGGTGACTTAATTTCATCTGAAATAGGAGAGTTACGATTTTCCAGTAATACTAAATATGGATCCTTGTTGTCAACTACAGCTTTTTCTAACATTCGCATGACAGTTTGAATATGTCTTTCAACCATTCCATTAGATTGTGGGTAATTTGGACTTGAAGTTCTGGTTTCAAAATTCCATCTTCTTGCAAAGTCTTTAAATTTCCTGCAATTATATTGTGGACCGAATATATCCGAATATACTATTTTCGGAATACCATGTCTTGCAAAAATTGATTTCAATTGCTTTATCACTGCTACACTTGACAAATCTTCCAAATGTCCAATTTCAACATATTTGCTAAAATAATCTATAACCATTAGATAATCCCTTCCTTGAAAGTAAAAGAGATCTGTTCCTAATACTTCCCATGGAGCATTAGGTATTTCTGTAGATATCATTGGTTCTTTAGTATTTGCTTTTAGTAAATTTAAACATGTTTGACAATTCAGTACCAAATCTTCAATTTCTTTCAACATTCCTGGCCAATATAATATTTCTCTTGCTTTGATTTTGCATTTTACTGCTCCTAAACGACCATAATGAATTCTGCTTAACATATCTTTTCGTAAACTTCTTGGTACAACAAATTTTTAAATATTAATCCATTTGCTTCTTCTCTGAAGTTAAAATATGGTTTTGCCAGTTCTGGAACCATACATTTTTCACCTGGCCCAGTTTTAATTAATTTTCTTAAAACTTGCAGTTCTTCATCTTTTTCTGTTTCCAGTTGAAAAACTTCCATTTTACCATTAGACATTGGTATGCATTCTACAACCAATCCAACATGAGCTTCTATGTCTCCTTCAAAGAAATCAGATCCATTATCTGTAAATGATTCTTGATAATGCATCCGCTATAAAAAGTTCTTTTTCTGGTTTATATTTTATCTTAAACTGATAATGGCTGTAATCTTTATACGCATTCTTTGTAATCTTACAGGGCATTTATTTAATGGCTTTTTTGAAAATTGATTCCAAGTGGTTTATGGTCACTTTCTACAGTAATATATTTTCCAAATATATACTGGTGAAATTTCTCAACACGCAAATACTATAGCTAAAGTTTTCCTTTACAATTTGAGCATAATTCTTCTGTGTATCTGTTAATACCTTAGATGCATATGCTACAGGTAAATTATTCTGCAGTAAGACTGCTCCTAGTCCTTCTTGAGATGCATCTACAGATAAAACTACTGGCATCTTTATATCATAATACTGTAAAACTGGTTTATTTACTAAGACTCTTTTAGTCTTCTAAATGCTTTTTCATGTGTTGCATTCCAGTTCCAGATAACTTGTTTTTTCAACAAATCTCTTAAACATGATGTCAATTCTGATACAATAGGTATAAATCTAGAAACATATGTAATCATTCCTAGGAAAGTTAATTCTTCACATTTTTGGTGGTTTTTATCTAGAATAGCTTTAATTTGTCTTCATCTGGTTTTAAACCATCTTTAGAAAATTATGTTTCCATATATTTCATACATTCAGCCCAAATTTAACATTTACTTAAATTAAATTTAACATTCTTTTCTCTGGCTCTGTCCAAAATTCTTTAATCTTAATCATGTTCTTTTTATCTCTACCCCCAAACTAATAAGTCATCTATAATATTTTGAACTTCTTAAATCACTAAAAATTTCAGAAAACTTTGTGGAAAACTTTGGTGATGAACTCAGTTCATATGGCAACCTCAAAAAACAATATCTTACCAAACGGAGTGTTAAATGTAGTAAAATTCACAACTTGAATCTGACAGTTTAATTTGCCAAAATGCTTTGTTTGCATCTAAAATACTAAAGACCTTTGCATTGTCATTTGAGATGAAATTTCTTCAAAGGTTGGTATGTGATAATTTCTCAGTATATTTGGTAAGGTGCTGGGAATCTAAACACACATCCTTTCCTTACTACCACTAATGATTCACGATTTTGTTCGTTGTTAACTTTCTTCATAATACCATCTTTTCATTCTTGCTAATTCCTTTTTAATGGATTAATAAGCTAAGTGAAAGTTTCCTACAGGGTTATTTTTACCGACAGCTCCTGGTTTTAATTTAATATGATATGTATATCCAGTTAACTTCCCAGTTCCTTTAAGCAAATCGGATATCCTTTTAAAATTCTGGTAACTTTTCATTGGAATCAGGATTTACTGTACAAATCCTTGTATTAGGTTTAATTTTGCAATGTAGGTAAACCTAAAATAGCTTGAACAGTTTTATCACATTCTACGACTTGAAATTCTATTTCATCCTTGTCCCTTTCGATGTTTCACATAATAACTTACATTTTCCAACTACATCAATTGTAGTACTTGTAATTATTTAAGTGACTTTTGATTTAATCAAACATTTCTCTCTTAAATTTAATTGTTTAAATTAGGCAATGGTAGCACATTACACTGAGCTCAAGTATCCAACTAACAAAATAAATATTTAGTTATGTTTACTTTAGTTTTTCAAACCATTCTGTTTTATTTTTAGAAAATGGATTTGTATCTTCTACTGACCCTAAAAATATATCATTACCATTATTATGTAACTCATGCTCTAAATTATCTGTACAACATTAAAATATTATAAGTGCACATTTTGAAAGTGATTTTTTCTTTTTACAGTACAAGCAAATCTTATTATAAGCAGGACAATTGTATAACTTATGAAAAGTTCCACATTTTCTACATGGTTTTGGATTATGTACTTATTTCCTTGATAGTTTGAAGAAGATTTAGTACTTTGTTGCTTGGTTTTACATGATAGTCTTTCTTACAAGGCTGACATTTTCCTCTGAAGGTCGAAATTTAGTACGTTTGATAGTTTTTTATTTTCTTCGTTAAAGTTTTTCAGCTGGAGTTCTGCTAATTCAGAAGCTTTACACATTTTAACATTTCTCCAATGTTAACTGATCTTCCCTTAATAATCTATCTTTGAGAATTTTAATTTAGAATTCCACTTACTATTCTATCCCTTATTAAACTATCTTTAATTCTCCAATCCAAAGTTGCTATTAATTTCTTTAAATCGGTAAGAAATCATCAAAGGATTCACCTACATTTGTGTTATGTCTATAAACACTTTCATTGCTTTTTCGAAAGCTTCAATTACTTTGTCAACATCTTTCTTATCTTCTTCACTTAATTAAAGTATTAAACTTTCAAGTGCTTCTTCACAATAATATGCAATAAAATAGCTACTTAATTTCAGGTGATTTAGTTATGCCAACAGACGCAACATATAAATTTGGAATTTTGTTTCACTTCTTCCAATTTTCGCTTAAATTACTTCAAAATTTAGATACTTGGTGGCTTTAATCCATCCATATTAATTTAGAGACTTTAAAGTTTATATATACATATTTTTAGCCACTTCAAGTAAAAATAAACAACGCACTTACCAGGGATATAAGTTTGGATTTCACTGTAAACAACTTCCCATCATGTTTTTGTTTAGAATATCTTTACCCAGGCTGCATGGTTCTTCAAAAAAGATTTTTTTTTTTTTTTAATCAAGGACAGGCTGCACCATGGGTTGTATTTTATTATATGTTGGGTATATGCTCAGTGATGATTACAAGATGTACACAAACATCGTTTATTCTACAATGCTCATCTACTATTTTATATTACAGTTATGATTAAAGATAATAATAGATACACAGTTACATATATTAACATACATATATATTACATATATAACAGTTACGTATATAACACCCCTTGGCAAAAATTGGCGATTTTTTATGGCACATGGATACCGAGTTTGTGCAATTCTTTGACAAAATAATAAGTCAAAGAATTGCACAAACTCGGTATCCATGTACACATTGACCTATTTTCGCTTTAAAAAACCACAGAATTGCACAAACTAGGCATTGCACACTCCCTTGACTTTATCCATGTACACATCGACCTATTTTCACTTAAAAAAACATCAGAGAATTGCAGAAACTTGGCATTGTGCACTCCTTTGACTTTGCCCATGTACACATGAATATCTTTCCGCTTAAAATGTCAAAGGAGCATCCAATTCTAGGTTGCTATGAAAAGTTAGAAGTTTGCCTTACATATTTATACATGCATACACACTAGTATTTGAAATTAAGAAAATAAACATATTTTTATCTTAGAATTAAAAACATAAACAGATTGGGAACTAGGTGAGATTCGGTGCTTTTTGAATTTCTCAAAAAAATACCGAACTTAGTGTGAAAGCGCTTGGTGAAATAAAACTACAGTAACATCAGTATTAGTTATACTGATACTTGTAGGTAGTATTGCAGCAGTAGTAGGTGAAATATGTTGCCATATATCATTTTAAAATCATTCACATTATATTAAAATTTGTTCAGTATATTTTAAATTATGGAATCAGTTATGGTTCTAAAAAAATTATGGCTTTTTAAATGTTACTTTTATTAAGAAATATTTTCAGTGTAGTTCTATCATTTTGGCATCCATCTTTGAAATCTGATAAATTAATGCAAAATAATTTTTACTAAAGGTTCTGTTTGGCTAATTTAAGAAAATTTCTGAAACATTGAGCCAAATGATTAAGTTTATTATAAAATTTGAACATTTTTAGTTTAAAGAGAATTTATTGGTTTTACAGTTTAATATTGTTTTCCTTTCAGCTGTTTGTGAAAATTATCTTAGTTTCAAATTCATGTAAATGTATTTGAATGCAGTATTTAATTTTAGGTGCCACCAACTAGCCTTTTGGGTTTATACCGATTAAAAGTTGAAGGTGATGTGCACGGAATACTTGGTGGCAGAGCTTTTTATAATGAAACTGATCTTCATTACTCACAGCGATCAATGACTATTTTTATACAGACTGATAAACCCATTTATATGCAAGGAGAAACTGGTAAGTTCCAATTTTGGTTCAACATATTTGCTTCCTGAAATAAATAAAAAAAAAAAAAAAAAATAAATAAATCTGCAGACATGTTATTAGACATTTATAAATTTCTTAAGATATGTTATAAAGCACTTTCGATTTATGATGAAATGTTTGGGATTAAAAGTACATTTTTTTTTATTCTAGTATATTTTCGAGCAATTCCAGTCACAACAGATTTAAAATCTTTTTCTGATGCAATTGATGTTTTCATACTAGATCCTAGAGGTACCATAATGCGTAGATGGTTATCTAGACAAACTAATCTTGGTATGTTATGTAATTTTATTTCCATGTAAATTAATATTCTTCAATTGTAGTAAATGCATGAAATGTGCTGTGTTTGGAATTTATTCTATTAAAAGGAAAATAATTTCTAAATTATGGAATATTTTTTGCAAGATTATATTGCCAACATATTTTATATTTATATGTATAGGTCTACTTTATATAATTTAATTACTATATTCACTGTGTTTATCCTAAAATGTAGAATAAGTTTATGTATTATGTAAGAAATGTAAGCTGTGTAATCTTTCATTAAACTTGAATTTTATATAAGTCAAATTTGTAAATTCCTTAAGTGTAATTTCAATAATTTTTTATTATATATATGTATTTTAAGGTGACCAGATTTTAACATTGGTAAAGCGGGACACTATTGACCGGGAGGGGAGGGGGAGTAGTAATTAAGCATTTGGTCTATAATGGAGCAACACAAATTTTAATAGAATGAAAAATAGTATTGTAATATACTTTTAAATTTCAACAGAAGTACAATTTACAAATACATAAAAAATTGTGTATAGTATTATTTTATTCTTTGGCATATTTCTCATTTGAGTGAATTTTTTTTAGTGGACTGCTGTTGTTGTTTGAAAGGTCATGACATTTTTTATAAGAATTTGTTAAATGATATTTCACACATAAAATGGCTTTCAAAGTCTCAACACTTAATTGTGAAGATGAAGAACATTCTTTTTCAGAAAAGAAGATTTAGAAGATTCTTTTCCAGAAAACTCTTCTAAAATTCTAGGATATTTATCCTGTGATAGAAAGTAGGATTTCAAAGGATCATATATTTTTGAAATTCTTTCGACAGCTGGTGAAAGAGCTAACCAGCATGTATCCAAGTATCCAAGTATTTTCTGATATTCGACTTTTACAGTTTCACAAAATTCTTTAAGCATTTTAACTTGCACAGTGCATATATAGAAGTAAGAATATATTTTAATAGGAGTTCTATGGGCAACAAGTCAGCAGCAGTTTGAATGGTGTTATGTATTATGTGCGCTGGATAACCAACACCAATAATGTTTTGATTAAGGTTTTTGTTTCATTTATAAAAAATATTATTTGTACTACATCTCGCTTTTCCTGAAATTTTTATTCGTGTTGTCTGCGCAAGATGCAATCATTTAAAGTTTTAAATTGTTTTTTTTTTTTTTTTTTTTTCCAAAATATTTATAATGGAACAGAAAATTATTTCAGAAGTTTCACTGGGCAAAGAAATGAAATCTAAAATTCTAACTTTTATTCCAATTTCTGAATAAAAAAATTTAATAGCAGTTGGAAATAACTTTGTATCCTCATGATTAAATGAATCAAAATATATGGATATAAAATTATTTTTTTTCTAGATTTTTGTTAATTCTGAAAATGCAGATGAAGAAAACACATTATACACAATTGCCTTGGATTTCATTCTAACACAGGCAAATTTTTTATTGAATAACTTTTGGACAATAGATCTAAAGGAATAATTGTGATGAATAGTATAAAAAGGCATAAGTCCTTCTACTAATGCTAATTTATTTTCTTAGTCTGCATAACATAAGTTGTTTTCTGTAAAAATTCCTGTATTTTAGAGGAATATGCAGCAGTATTTAAATACCTTTTATGTTTCTGTGTCTCTAAGTGCTTTGAAATATCATTCTTCCTGCCATGCAAAATAGAAAATTCACCTTTACATTTTTTGCATTTTACCTTGTAATAGCTATTTTTTTTTTAATGCAAGGAAATTCACTTCTTAGATCATCATTGAATTTGCAGTAAGAAAATACTCATTATGTTAAAAATAAAAAATAAAAAATAAAAATAAAATTAAAAATTAAAGTATTATAAATTTTACATGCATATAGCTTAAAAATACAGTAAGTAAATACATACTTACATGAATATATTTTATTGTTAGTCTATAAATTATATTAATTTCATTAAGTAACTATATTTTAAAAAATTATTTAAATTTTAATCCTATATTTCTTTCTAGCTGTAACATAAGTCGTTAATGCCACTTCCAAGGCAAGCAGTAGACTTTTTGCCGCCACTGTAAAATATAAATAATATGAGTACTGTCTGCTAAATTCAAGAAAATTTATGTATTTATGAAATAAATAACTAAGTTAGCTAATTATCTGAATAGCTGATTTGTTGGCATCACTTGTTTAATTAGCACGCAGTACGATGTGTACTGTCTAAGAGACAGTTACAAAATGTTTTCATCTTCGCCAATGCCAAAGAAATGCTACTGTTCTTTAAATCCAAACAATGGTAGGAATTCTAATAACTGATCAAGAATGCAAACTTTGATAAGCAGTTCTTGATAATCAGTTCTCAACAATTAATTGTTGTTATTAAAGTTTGACATTATAAAATTAACAAAAATAACATAATTCATATCTTGGCGAAATAGATGTATATTCTGTTCCATTCTTCTGCCATTCCCTAGCTTGTTCTGCATTCTTCCCAAAAACCAGAACTATTTTAAAACACCGTGGGGCATGGGTCAAACTATTAAAAATCACGACTGTCCCGCCAAAAGAGGGACGTCTGGTCATATGCTTACTTTGCTTACTTTTTAACAGCATTATTTTATAAATTAAATATCATAAACCATCATAAAAACATCCTCGCACATCCTTTTCAAATAAATAAACTTCCGGTGATAGCTAATTTGGCTCTATAATAGAAAAGACATTGCTACAAATCGATGGTTGTGAGGAGAAATTCTGTTCTCTGGCAAGTTCTACCCCTCTAAATGTTAAAGTCTGTTGCTAGTGATGAAGGCATTGTTGTTTAAACTGAGCTAGTACCACTGTAATATGTATCATCTACAGATAGAGATTCAATTGCCATTGTATTATTATTATTTTTTTTTTTTAATTTTGGAATGCTTTCAACTGAAATAAGCTCTTCATCACGAGCCAAAAAAAGCTCACTAACATAAATGCTGTCTACTTCCAATTCTAATTGCTGAGCCATTGTATGCACATTTTCATTGCATGTAGTAGTTCTTGTATTAGTTGAGCTATCATATCATTGTTTACTCTCTTTAAACAACTTTATGCATTGTTTAGGTAGATTTTAATGATAATAATAATCATATGTTAGTGGCAGTAGTGGCACCATGCACAATAATAACAAGTTATAAATAGTATGGTTCTTTTTCTTTTAATTTAAATAAAGAGAATAAACATGCAAATGATTAATATGACTTAAAAGTAATCTAATACAGTGCAAAGTCCGTAATCTGGACTCGTCGGGACTTCGGCGATTCCAGATTAGGAGTTTTTCCGGATTATAGATCATCAATTTAAATCTGGTAAGATGGCATGCAGAAATTATACAATTAAAAATATGAAACCATAATTTATGAAATAAAGAGCAATTATGATCTAAAGGGTATCAAAATTTACAAAAAAAAGTTTAATATTTATTTGTTTACTTTATTAAACATTTCTTTCAACGTAAGTTGTTTAAGTTGCTTTGTTTATTGTGCTAATACTTTCACTTTAATTCTATAAACAGACATAATTTCTTGTTCAGTTACAAAGTTCCACTGTTCAAGTCCTGTAAAATGCTGTGTGTCAAGAATACCAACTAACTTGCCAATCAAAATTTTTTCATTTTCAATAACCTCTCTGTCAGTTTCTTCACTATCGGAAGCGGTATTTTCTGGATCTAGAACCATACTACAGATTTTGCCGTCTGTTAACTGATTGATGATTGGGGCATTGTTGTTGCAATGAAAAACTTCTGTTATATCATCTTCATTTATTACCGCTTCTCCTCATTTCTTTACAAAATCCAATAACTGGAAAATTTCACCTTTAGTTTGCGATGTCGCGGCTATCATCTTCATCGTCCTCACCATGAAATGTGGTAGCTGGTCATAAATTATGCCAAGCATTTTTTAACATTCACATCCTCCCACGATCTTGCGATGCTCCAAACAACAGATTTTATGCTAAAAAATTTCAAAAAGTCTGGAATAGCTTTGCCATTGTTCAGGAAATTTAACATAGATTTTAAGAATGCTACTTTATATTTGTATTTTAGCGTGTGTACTATTCCCATATCCATAGGCTGAATGATAGACGTGTAATTTGGAGGGAAGAATAATATGGATACAATATCTTTCACTAAAACTTTAAGTGAAGTTGGTTTCACTAAAACTTCAAGTTTAATATTTACCATCTAACTACATATATTTGAGAAAAGATTTATTTGATCATAAAGTGATAAACAAAATGGATCAGAGTTTGTAAAATAAATAAAGTAGTAATAAATATCCAAGTGTGATATATTCATCTTTAAAATAATGCTTAAAAATATGAAAAGGACAATAAATCCATGAAAATGAGTAACTCAGCCACTCTAGCTTTCAAAATGCTTTTGGTTCTAAATTATTGTTGCATGCGTACGGGTTCGTTATGAAATGAATGCACAAGTCCGATGAAAAATGAAGAAAATTTATTATTATAAAAAAATTAAACCAAAATGCTTAAATTTTCTCAAGATATTCAAGCAATATACAATATCTCACAGTAGTTATCTTTTAACTACTCAAATGTTCAAGTAGAACGTAATTCAAAACAGCTAAAGAACGCTAATCCGCGAATTCGCTACAATCAACAAGAGCAGTTTTCTAAACAAACTTAAAACAAACAAACTAGCTAAAATCACGAACTGAGATGTTTTCCTCCTTTTATAAGATTTTTAAAATCACGCGCTAGAATTTTCTGGTACTTTCTCGAAATCAAAAAGAGATATTATTTATTAAATTAATGCACGCGCTCTTGTATTTTTCAATTTTCCTGGCTTAGCTTTCTTTTAATATTCGTCACGCGTTCTGCACTGCAAGCGGGAAATAAAACATTTAATTTATAATTGAACTAACATTAGCTATTTAAATACCAAATCCGTAATACTGCCCCCTTCCCAAGGACTGCATGTCCCGGGCGGTGCAATCCCTGGACAGGAAGCCAAACTTACAACTAAAGGCATAAATGCAATAATAAGCATTACATTACAATAACAGAAAAAAAAAACATGAATAATAAATGCAATCAAATATTAAATACAAATCAAATGCTACCAAATACTAAATACAAATCAAATCAAATACGCATTTAGAAACAAAAAGAACCATGGTCTTACATTATTTACAATTATTTACACTATGTACTATGGCCATAGTAATAAGCTAACCTGTCAGGCGTCGCCATTTCCAGGAGAGGATCCCTTCTGAGGATGAATAGTCAAATTCCGAAAGCAGTTTGTTGTTTTTGAAGTCCAAGGAAAAACTGTATTTCCTTAAAAATTCCAATCCAAGTATGCATGGATCTGTGATATGTGCCACATATGCCGTGTGATGGTAGGCTGCACTTCCAAACGTGATGTTCATGTTTAACTTCCCAGCTATGTCAATCTTATCACCAGACACAGTCTGAAGGGTAACACAGGATGGCGTCCAAATAAGTTTTTCTTTAAACTGTTCAGCTAAATCTTTCCCAATGATGGAAACATTAGCTCCTCTGTCAATGATCATATTGCAAGGAACTCCATTGATATGCCCATTGATGGACAGTCCGTTAGTGTTGCCACTCACTGTAGAAATCGTGAGCACTTTAAAACAAGGTTTTTCATTATCTGGCAAACCTCCGTTCCTCGATATGGTCATTAATTTGTTTCTTGCGTCGTTGCTGAGAAATGGTCTCAATTTCCGTACCCTGGGGTGTTCTGCAATTCTTTCGTACGTGGCCTTCAGCTCCACAGTTCCAGCACTTTGGTTTCCTGTCAATCCTTTTCTGTCCCATGACATTTAATTATATGTTTAACCCACCTCACATATTTTCCCTGCTCTGGGGTGTTCTGCAGTTTCTTCGCATGTGGCTTTCAACACCACAGTTCCAGCACTTTAGAATTGTTTTTTTTCACTTCTGTTTCATCTGAAGCCGCTGACTTGTCTGATAAAATCATCTGTTTTATATTCCGTACCCTGGGGTGTTCTACAGTTTTGTTGTATGTGTCCTTCAGCACCGCATTTCCAGTACTTTACGTTGGTTTCTTGTCACCAATATTCCATCTCAAGGCATTCAGTTGTCTAGTTAAATTGTCTAGACGAGCAGTGACTTGATCCCCTGGCTTCTGGACATGAGCAACTCTGATTCGGTGGTGGTCTGTATGAGTTGCTTGTTGAGCTGCCCCAAATTTGATGGCGTACACTAGAGCGCTTTTAAAATCTTTAATATCTGCCATTCGTAGGGCCTTCTGTATTTCGGGATCCTGGATGCCATCGATAAAATACTGCAAGGACAGGATTTCCTTTGTTTCTGTCGGGCACTCCGCAAAGGTGAGGTGGGACAGCCTTTCAACATCTGTGGCAAGTTCCTGGAGTGTTTCCATGGGCTTCTGTTGGCGAGATTTTAATTAAAGCCTACTATAGTCTTTCAAACACTTTTCCCTAAATCATAGCTCCAGTGCGCCGGACAAAGCTTCGAAGGCTAATCTCTGGTTTTCGGGAAGAGTCTGCAGGATATCCGCTGAGTCTGCTCTCAGAGAAGTGGCGAGATGACAGGCCTTAGTCTGAGAATCTCATCCGTTCGTTTCCGCCACTATTGAAAATTGGGTCTTATACACTCGCCAGGATGTCTTCCCATCATATGTGGATAACTTCAGAGAGGGCCGAGTAAGCATTGGTAAGAATTTAAAACCATCACTATTGCTCCCTGCTGTCGCTATGAATTTCTTTAAAATACCCATTTCTTTGGCAACTGCAGAAACTCTCTCATCAATTTGTTGTTCGATTTGTTGTTTAACGGAACAATCTCTTCCTTCTATTTGTTCTTTGACAGAATCAACTTTGTAACCTATTTGTTATTCCACGATCAAAACTCTGTCTTCTATTTGCTCTTTTACAGAAGAAACTTTTTCTTCAATTTGTCCAACTTTAGTTTCGACCGCATCTACTCTGCCTTCCATAGCCTCAAATTTGTTTTCTGTTATGCAGGTAATTTCTCTTTTCATCTCTTCTTGTTTTGCTTCAATCTTTTCCTCTTCTGCTTCAATCTTTTCCTGTCCTGCTTTCATTTCATCCTTATACGAGGCAAAGGCTTATATCAACTGCCTTAACTGTTCTTCCATCGCTCTTGTTATTGGCATTCAAATCCCACTTCTGACACCAAAAATTGTTGCGTGCGTACGGGTTCGTTATGAAATGAATGCACAAGTCCGATGAAAAATGAAGAAAATTTATTATTATAAAAAAAAAAAAAAAAAAAAAAAAAAAAAAAAAAAAGAAAAATTAAACCAAACTGCTTAAATTTTCTCAGATATTCGAGCACTATTACAATATCTCACAGTAATTATCTTTTAACTACTCAAACGTTCAAGAGAACTTAATTCAAAACAGCTAAATAAAGCTAATCTGCAAATTCGCTACAGTCAACAAGAGCAGTTTTCTAAACAAACTCTTAAAACAACAGCAAACTAGCTAAAATCATCGAATTGAGAGGTTTTCCTCCTTTTTATAAGATTTTTACGTCATGTGCAAGAATTTTCTGGAATTTTCTCGAAATAAAAGAGATATTTATGTATTAAATGTTAAATGTACATGCTCTTGTATTTTTAATTTTCTGGCTTAGCTTTCCTTTAATATTCGTCACGCACTGCACTTCACAGGGAATAAAACAATTTAATTTATAATTCAACTAACATTAGCTATTTAAATACTAAATCCGTTACATTTTTATTCATTTAATTATCTTATCACCACTGGAAGCTTAGTGTGTACACTGTGTTGTAAATTAGATCATTCGCTATCTCAGAACTGTTTGTGTGTGTTACTTATTATTTTTTGCAGACTATATATAAAGAGAGAGAGATTTGAAAACATGTAATATCAGTGTTAAAATACTGTGTTCAGAAGTAAAAAAATGAACAATAGATTATTTCACTCTGCTATCAGATAATATTATTAAATCATATTAACAAATACTGTATTTACTGTATTTTCTCCCTATCTTTTTTGTGCAAAGTTCTGAAAGATTTTTAACTCTCGCATTATTTTCCCCTTCCTCAGTATATTCAGCAAATGAGTTGCCTTAAATGTTAAAATGAATTTGACCATGCAGTGGTTGTTTTCTTCTTACTAACTTATTTACTTTAATTTTGAGTACATGGCCTCTGACTGATGAAGCATTAATAGTAAAGAGCTTCAAGAAAACCAGGATATCTAATGGTCTTCATGATTTGAAAATCATTGCATGAGAAAAGATATGCTAAACAGTGGCAACTGGGATGATAGCAATGACTTGTAAGTTGTAGCAGATGACATAGTTCCATTATCACTGAATAATTTCTGGTGTGTAGAGAACAGCTGTGGACAACAATAAGAGCATGTGAGACTCAAGATACAGGGAAGTAGAAATGAAGATATCTTATTACATACTGCAATGGTAATACAGTACGAAGTCCGTAATCTGGACGTCCATTATCTGGAATGATGTATAATCCAGACCTCAAAGCCACAAACGTTTTTTTTTTTTTTGTATGCTTTATGCATGCACGTAATGTGTTTACGTATGCACGTTTAATGTATAACGGACGGTATAAGCTAGGCTAAAATTATCGTTACTGATTGTAAGGAATTTCAGTTAATGTTGCAGATCGCGCTGTTCCTTAATCTTCTAATTGGATCCGCTTATTATTTTTTGCAGATTGTTAGAGCAATTTTATAAAAATTAAGCTTGAACTTTCAATTATGTCAAAAATAGTTTCCAATTCTGGAACTGCCAAAGGATTCACAAAGCGAAAGCGTGTTTTGATGTACTGCTTTCGATAGTGAAGAAAGTGACAGAGAGTTTATATTGAAAACGAAAACATTTTGATTGACAAGTTAGTCGGTATTCTCGACACAGGTTTTTTTTGTAAATTTTGATACCCTTTAGATTGTAATTGCTCTCTCCTTTATAAATTACGGTTTCATATTTTTAATTGTATAATTTCTGCACGCCATCTTACCAGATTTAAATTGATGATCTATAATCTGGAAAAACTCGTAATCCGGAATCGCTGAAGTCCCAGCGAGTCCAGATTATGGACTTTGTACTGTATTACTAATTATTCTTACTGGAATGTAGGTTTCTTTTAAATAAATAATATATAGTTACTGGTAGTTTGTCAATGAATACTTTCCATTTGTTATATTCTTACTGTAATCATGTCATTTGAAAATTAAATTATTTACATAATTTAAATTTCCATATGATAAAATTAGTAAGAAAAGGCAGAAATGCACAAATAAATACAGTATTTAGGTTCTAGAATCATTAAGTTTTATTTTTAGTTGGTATAACAAAAATTAAAATTTAAATAAAGAAGTGTGATTTCATCTCATTGAAATGTAGCTTGTTAAAATTTTGCTGTCTGATAAAATCCTCTTCTAGGTGCAGTTAGTTTGTTTTATCAATTATCTCAACAACCATTCTTTGGCAATTGGACAATCAAAGTTGTTGCACAAGTAAGTAAAAATAACTTAAATAGGAAAAATAAATATATCATTGTAAAGTATAATATTTTGTAATAAAGTATATATACCATTGAATCTTGTTATAAGGACCTGTTTCATCTTTAAAAAATAAATTATTATATTGGGAAAGGATATTTAATATTAAGTCTTCAGATGGGAACTTTGCACAGCAGTCATTATAATGGTCATTATAAGTATTGCTGTGATGAGTGGTAGGTATAATAAGGATTGATTGGGATTATGTTTCACTTTTAATCAAGTATCTAAAAGAAACAGGTATTTTGCAAAATATCTGATAATATTACTGTTTTACTCTCCCTTACCCCAAAATTAAATTTTAGTCAAAGCCCTTTATATTTTACATACATAATGCAGTATTGTGTTTGCTTGATATAGAAATGATTTCTGAGGTTTAGATTTTTTTTAAATTATTATACTTAGCAATAAATTGCTGCTTTTTCCTCATTGAATAGGGCTAATGTTGGAAAAACAATTAGTTTTATTTTTGACACAATTATAATCTGATATATATAGTTGTGCAGTATATATATGAGACACTTTTCTATGAATCATTAATTTTTTATGTTACATTATGAGGTAAAGAAAAAGAATAAGTAAGAAGGGAAGATCTATGTCTCTTAGACAATCCAAAATTTATGACCAAAGTCTGGGATTGTAGGGGACCATAACAAGAACATAATAGTAATAGTATTTCATGTTACAAAAGGGTCAGTGCTTGGCTAGCATTCTTTGGCTAGACATCAGTTGCAGTTTTTGCTAGTCATCCAACTTACATAGATGAATTTAGGTTCAGGATGGAAATGGAACATTTCAGCAGTGTTTAGTTCCATATTACTCATGAGAATTGTCCATATGCTGTAGAGTGACAGGATATAGATGCTGTAGACTCCTTTAGAAAACTTCTGGGACTAGCATGGGAGAAAGGGCTTTGAAATGTCCTCAGTGGCAAAGAAGCAAGCTCCAAGTATGTAGAACATGTGTGTGGACTATTATATTGATATATTCTTATTAACCAGGCTGCTCTCACTTGTGTATCAGATTTTTGAGCTCCATGACAAATAGGAATGTAAATTCTCCATTACGCATATAATAATTTCAGAGCAATTTAAAAAAAGACTACTGTGCACTAATCATAAAAATAATACTCAAGAACACAAATGATTTTGTTTGTTTGACCTACTGATGGGGTGAACTTATTTTTAGGATATACATCGGCTAGAATAAATAAGCAAAATACTTTGGTGGTACATAATATCAAACAATAAATCTTAGATTTTACTGAATGACAATAACGCTTATATATTTTTACGTTATTAAAAAAATTTGAGAGAGAGAACGTTTTTTTTATAGGGGAGTGATGTAGTATATATAGTGTATATATATAGATATAGATAGATTGATTGATCCAGATTATATCAAATAAATTAAATGATATTCATTTTATTACATTAGTGATTTATCATATTTTAAATGTGATGTCATTATTTTGATCCTGATATTAATTGATTATGAAAACTAAACTGTTATTTTTTGTGGAATTCTTGGCTAGCTGACAGTTTATTTTTAAATAATTCTTTTTTAGCTTGACTAGAAGTTATGTTTGGTGCATGCTGTTCTGTTCACACTAGTTTCCTTCCCCTTTAGGTAACAAGCAAAGACAATTTCCTGTTTTACAAATCACTACATATTCGTATGAATGAAAACCTTTTCACATTATTTTAAAGATATTGCGTCCATTTTCTGACCTCAGTTTATTTCTATTTAAATCATATGCTGGAACTTGAAATTCAGAAGAAAGTGCTCAGTTTTCTTTTCTTGGATGGTAGGAGAATGAATATTCAATCAATACACTGTTTAAGTGTTTGAAGTATGTTTACCATAAGAACATATTTTTCAGAATAAAGAGCAAGAACAACTGGAAATATTTATTTTAATAAATAAACACATCAATTAAAAAACATGAAATCTATATTAGTTCACTTGAAGCATTTTATTATTTGCATTATTGCTATTACTATTGAAACAGTATAAATGTGTATAGATGACTCTTTTGAAATATTTGCAGTTATTTAATATTGCTGAATTTTAGCTTATAGCTGTTAATAATATGAAGTTTAGTCACCTTTGAATTTGAATAATTGGTTTACAAATTAGAAACTTTATTGATTTTAAAAATAAAGGACTTAGTGAATTGCCAGATTAACTCTCAATTCTAGCAATATATTTAAAGAAACTCTGAATTTTTAATTAAAATTGGAAGCATTAAGATCTCTATGTTACATGTAACCTACTATTTTTAATTATTGAAAAACTGGCATGGAAAGTATTTCACATTATTCAAACTTCTTCAGTGGAAAGTAATATTTATTCACACCATTTTATTATGCAACTGATATTAGTATTTTTTATCTTACTATGTCTAGAAATGCCTTGATTTTTTTTCATTTTAAATGAACAATAAACTGAAGCTGATTTTTTTATTTTTTATTTTTTTTATTTTTACACTCCCTCCCTGATCATGTGTTCTTTGAAATTTTTTATTCTTGTTATATTCCTGTTGCTACTTGAAAAGTTCAACTTTATAAACTTTTCTTGCTTTAGGGTCAAGTTGAGGAAAAAAACATTTATGTTGAAGAATATTGTAAGTACCTCTTTATAAGATATTTCCTTTATTTTTAAAAGAGATTCTTCATATTAATTTCAATTCCATATATCATTAGTTTTTTTAAATAACCAGAAGTATTGAAGTTTTTACATAGAAGAATAATATCTTTAATATAAATAACTTTATTATGTATTATTAATTATTGATAATTTATATTCTAACTGCTAGATCAGACTCCATTTGAGGTAAATGTGACTTTGCCACCTTTTATTTTGGAAAACCAACAAATAATAACTGGAAGTGTGACAGCAAAGTCAGTATTTCATTTTTTCTTCCCTTTTTCCTTTAAATTATTTTTTTCACATCTGACTTACGCTCCAGAAATATGATTTTTTTTTTTTTTTGGATGGTGTGGATGTATAGTTCTACTTTTATTTTTTACAGTTACACAAGCGGAGCTCCAGTTTATGGAAATTTAACAGTCAAAGCTAGTATTGAGTCATTACACTCACATAGACATTATGGGCAACTTCCAGAAACAAAACTATTCATAAATTATGTAAGCAGATTTTTATTTTTGCATATTCCAGGTTTATGAACAGTACTTCTTTTACCCTTACATTTGCTTAATATTTAGTAATATTTTATTAACATTGTACCTATATGTGTAAGCTATTTATTTATTTTGAAATTATATAAATATATCCTTAAATGGTGGTTATGACTAAATTAAAAAAATTAATATTTTATAATTGAAAATTCTTATTATAAATAATTTTTTTGGATTAAATGGAAATAATTTTTATCTGCAGATAAGTTTATTATAATCGTAATAATGCATTTTAAATTACTGTAAAGGAAATTATGACAAATATTTGCAGAAAGTTTCTGAAAAGAGGAAATAACTGAATGAAAAATTTATATAAAGTAATTAACCTATGAGTATGTGTATGGGGTCTGTTTGATCCCATCTTCGTAAAATAGAATGCCCTTCTTAAACCGTAATTATTATCACTTAATTTTTCTTCAGTAGGTGTCATGATATTTTAGAGCAGGTTTCAAATTTCTAGTTTCCTTAATAATTACTAAAAAATTACTTTAAATGTTATTTAGGGTCATATTTACCTCATGTGCATTCTTATGTAAGTCTATATTTCTTGAACTCACATGCAGAATTATATTATCTACAGCATTTGCTTTCTAAAAGTTAAATGTAGTTTTTTTCGACTACAAAATGAAACTTATGAGAAGAAACGGCCTGACTTCTGTTTTTAAGTTGAAAATGACAATGATGATTGTGAAATAGTAAACGGCGATAGTAAAGTAAGTGACCGTAATGCCAGTGAACAAGAACTGGAAAATGTACAAAAGCATATTTTTCATTGATTCCCAAGAAATGAATCATTTAATATTTGGAAAATATGCCTATGAAAATATGAATGTTGGTGTTGGAAGAAACTACTTTTAATACTCCTAAGATCTGGTAAATTTAATTTTCTGTATCTCAAAAATTTCAAAGTGACCCTTGTATTTCATTTCTTATGTAGGACTGACATATAGGGTATAATATCAGTTAATAAATATTCATAAAAGGCAGCATCTCTTGCTTCATTTAACTAACATCTCCCTTTTTTTCACTTAATTTTATCTCACCTTTTCCTTTATTATGTGTGCCAATATAGTTTTAAATATCAAGTTACAGCAGTTTATTAATATAAATGTATGCTTCCCCCCTTTTTTTGGCATACTTTTAGAATAAAAACCTTAAAATTTTTAAAATGCTCTCAAAATGTACATCTTCTGGGAAAACATAATATTTTAAAAACTAAATTAATTTACTTAATTGCATTTGATATGAACTCGATATTTGAAAGAAAAAAATAATAATTGGAATACTTCATTCTTTTGTTGTATATTATATGTTTGAAGTTAAAGGTATTTTGAATGCATGTGTACTGCATTATATTGTTATTACTTTAAATTCTGAAATGGTATTGACCCTTTTAATGTATTATTTTATGAACTTTTAGGAGCACATGAAAATCAGTTTTAATTTTTATAAAACAAGGATGTGTTTTAATTAGGAATTTGTTAGCAATGATGTTACTCCCATTCATCTGTATGATGTGTTATCCATAATTAGCTGACTGAATGATTATCTTTTTCTGGTCTTTACTATGCATCTTGTACATACATATTCCAGTTTATTCTAGTTTTCTTAGGCAGTCCTTCACAAAGATACCTTCTTAGGCAGATGGTTTAATGTTCTTTGATTAATTTAACATATAGTACTGCTGCATAATATATTCTTGATGTCATATATTTTTCAGTTTGAAGGCCATGTGGATTTTAAACTGCCGATAAGCGATCTTCGAAAGATGATGTCTCATCTAGATAATTCAAAGTTGTTTGTGATAGTTGAAGTTGGAGAGCGCTTTTTAAATCAGATACAGGTTGGATTTGCTCAATCCATTATATTCAAGTCTAATATAAAATTGAAGTTTCTTGGATCAAGTCCACAAGTTTTTAAACCTACTATGCCTTTCAAGTGTTATGTAAGCTGGAGTTTTTCAAATATTGTGTAATTTAGTTTTTGCTTAAAATCACTTTTTGTAGTTAGTTTTTAAGGTCTAGTAATAGCACTGCAACAGAAGATATAGGTTTCACATTAAACTACTTTTTGTAACTTTGATAATTCATCTTCACTGAGAATTAAGTAGGAAAATTAAGACCATTTTGGAATTAGAATTCCATAATAATTACAGCATTAAATTCTACTACTGAAAACTAGATAATTTAGAGCTACGTATAATAATATTGGTATATATTGTCATAATTCCAGGCACACACACACATATATATACTCTCCAAAATGTATGCCAATTAATAAGTTTTCCTGAAGTACCAAATGAACACTGTAATGAGAGTTGAAGAAAAGGAATCAAGATAAAAATAAAATAATCACAGAAACAAAATAAATTCTAATATATATATATATTTAGACCAAAAATTGAAATTCATGAGTAATAAATTTCAAATAATCCTATAAATGCAATAAAAATATAATAAATGTTTAAACCAAAGCTCTTCAAACAAGCAATACCCCGATTCAAAAAATAAATTAAATTCAAAGAAAAAAGAACTCAATAGAAGAGGAATTCAATCAACTTCAATGCACTTTGTCCAGGAGGACAAACATTGAAATCTCTCTTCCACAAAAATCTTTGCTTTTCTGTATCCAGAATTAGCCGATAAAACAATTCAATGTATTTTAATTATAATAGTTCACCTGAAAATTCTGGTCCCTCCCCAAAGCAAGGAAAAAACAAAGTAAGTTTTAATTAAAATCTTGTAGCTTAAAATAAGATAATCCTTTTCAAAGAACTGAAAACATTCAAAATTTTACCTTTGAACAAGTAGCACATAATCCAAAGAATCTAAAGCTTAAGCAAAATTATGAAATGAAAATCAGTGAAAAGACTTAAATAAAAATACAAGAAGTAATTAAAAACTTTAAGCATTTTCATTAAGAACACAATCGAAACTAGGAATAAGACCATTACAGTACTGACGTTTAGGTTTGCCATTTTGGCTTCACTGACAAAACTAAAATACTGTGGTGAGAAAGTAATCACTCAAAAGTCTAAAAACTGGAACAAAAGATGGAATTTTGAAAACAAAAGAAGAACTTTAAAAAACTCTATTAAAATTTTTATCTTGAAAAAGAAAAATATTATTTTACAAATTAAAAAGAAATTTAAGTGAATTTTGACTTTTTTTTAAACAAAAAGGGAATAAAGAATGCCATTCAGTGTTAAATTTTAATTAAATTTTAGAATAAATTTTTCTTTAAATTTAGTAGACTTAAAAGAAAGTGGGTTAATCTTTGGATTATGGTAACTTCGCGATTTTTTGGCGAAAATTTGGCGACCAACCTTGCTACAACAACCTGCTAGTTTTTTTTTGGACGCCATTTTGTTTTCACGAAGTAAAGGCTTTTTTTTTTTTTTTTTTACTCAACATTTTTTTCCAACAATCCGCTAGCCGAATTACGCTTATGCTAGAACTTTTATGGAACAAAAGTGCTTAATCATGACGAAGATTAGGTGCAAAATTGGGAGAAAGTACAGAATTGCCCACTGCTTGCCGCATTTTTAAGAATTGCACATACACGGTATCCATGTACACGTCGACCTATTTCCACTTAAAAAACATTCCAGAATTGCACAAAAATGGCATTGCGTACACTCTTGACTTTATCCATGTACACTGCTAAAGTCCTAGCTAGTAACCTTTATAACCTTATCAAAATGTCGCCAAACTACCTGTTACCATATTCCAAAGATTAGCCAAAAAGTTTTTAATAACTCTTTTTTAGAAATGAGTAGAAAACTCCTCAAGTTGAATTTTAGATTTTTTAATTTTTTTTGTTTAAAATTACGGTAAAAAGGCAAAAGAAAGCTTGAAAAAGGAACTATTGTTAGAGAAGTAAAAACTCTTTACATTATGGGCTTATCACAATGACTTTGAATATAGGTGGCTCTTGTTTTAATAACAGAATAGTAATTTAAGAGGAAAAAAAAAATTAAAAATAGAAACCTATAAACCATTTTGAATTTTCTTTATTTAAGGTACAAATTTTAATTAAAATTTACTTTGTTTTTTTCCTTGTTTTGGAGAGGGGCCATAATTTTCAGGTGAACTATTATAATTGAAATATATTGAAATGGTTCATCACTTAATTCAGGATACAGAAAAGCAAGGATTTTTGTGGAAGAGAGATTTCATTTGATTTCATTGTTCCTCTTCCTGACGAAGTGGCATTGAAGTTGATTAAATTCCTCTTCTATTGAGTTATTTTTTCTTTGAATTTCATTGATTTTTTTTTTTGAGGTATTGATTGTTTAGAAGAGCTCTGGTCTTAACATTTATTAAATTCTTTATTGCATTTTACTGTATTTAAGAAGATTTTTTTGTTCTTTGAAGCGTCTTGAGAGTTATGCATAGTGGAGAGTGTAGAACTGAGGTTCCCTGCTACAGAAGTATAAACTGCACCAAGCTGAAAAATTAAACATAAGATATAATCAGTGACTTTCTGTCCTTAAGATTTAACAACATAGATGAACATAAGTGTTAGACTATGACACATTAATGAACTTATACGATGGATAATGTACAAATGTACTAGATTGGTACACTATGATTTGATCCTGCTTAACAGTCCTTTCCATATAAGCAGGTATTCCATATATGTAGAACGATAATTCAGAATGCTTGAGTAGATTCTTATTTACACTGTGCTGTTCCTTGTTATGACTCCTTGAATCACGTTTCTGCACCACATTTGAGAGAATCGCAGCTGCTAGCAGCGTTGGCAAGCATCATCAGATAGGCGTAGCATGGAGTTCAGACTTCAGCACCCTCAGAATCGGAAAGACACACTACCCTTTCTGTCTTCATCTCTCCTCATCGGCAGGAACCTTCTCCACAGATGTATAGTTCACCTTTTCTGCTCAGCGCAATCATGAACAGGAGAAATGCTTTATAACACATTTATAGGATTATTTGAAATTAATTACTTATGAATTTCAATTTTTGGTCTTTCTGATAAATTGGTTCTAAATTTCTTACTTTATGTCTTTACTGATATTTTTTAGCAGCTTAATGCGCAAAAATACTAGGCAATATATAAAACAAATATTTGTTTTCTTAAAAAAAATGTTTTGTAATTTTATATATATAAAGCAAGAATTTTTGAGGAAGAAAGATTTAAATTGATTTCATTGTTCCTTCTCCTGACGAAGTGGCATTAATGTTGATTGAATTCCTCTTCTATTATGTTCGTATTTCTTTAAATATCATTAATTTTTTTAATTGGGGTATTGCTTGTTTGAAAAGTTTTGATTTTAACTTTTTTTTTAAATTCATTATTGCATTTATAAAATTATTTGAAATTTATTTATTATGAATTTCAATTTTTGGTCTTTGTGAAAAATTGGTTCTAAATTTCTTACTTTATATCTTTATATATAGAGAGAGGAACTTAAGAAAAGGATGGGATACATTTCATTAAAAAATACACAACTTTCAAGTGTTAATAGGATAATAATATAAAAGTATTTCTGTGAATTTCAGTAAAGTTATAACTAGAAATGGTTTTTGAATTGTTCATTATGGAGGATAATAAGTAAAAAAAAAAAAAAAAAAAATCTGATTGTGTTTAATGCTAGGTCTTTAAATATACTGATGTTTGGTAAATATATTGGAAATACAAAAAATATAAAAACAAATACACCTTTAAAATTGATGTAATTTTTGATGCTACTAAGAAATGATGCTGAAATTTCGTGAAAAAAAATTCTCCTTTGAAAAGAAACAAGATAAAATAAAAGAAACTCCAGATATACACATGTAGTAACATTGAGCACTCTCTCTTTTAACTTAAGTTAGCCTTAAAAGTCCAAACGAAATTTGAACAAAATGAAAGCCCCAAAAAGTAATCAATGAATCACTATTAATTATTTTAGCATAGGTACATAATTCTGATCTATGGAATAAAAACAACAGTGGTAATTTTTCGTAGTTTATTAAATTTATATTTATAAACAAGATTCATTCCTAATAATATTTTTAAGCCGGATTTTCGAGTTTGTTTCCTTTCATATCTAATTTATTAAATCATTTCATCCTCAGATTTTAATAAAGATTAATTTTTTGTACTGAAACATGTGGTCTATTTTTACCTTGATGTTTTATAATGTTTGGTTTCAAACTAGGTAGCTGTTTCCTACTATGATGGATCCCCTTTACCTGCTTGGAGATTAAATGATCAGAAGCTGGAGCTTACAACATTAATCTTTTTCAAAAATGGAGGACAAAGAGAACTGGAAACACAGTATGAGCAGATGAGTCCAGTTCAGTTTGGAATATGGGAAATTACCATTGATCTGTTGTCAAGTTTTGGTTCTCTGAAATCTCTGAATGACATATATTCTATCTCACTTGAGGTGCATATATTTTTGCAGTTGTTTATCAAAAGTTATGCTTTATTTCTGTTTATATCTTTATCTATTTTATGTATCCTAATCAAAATTTAATTATTATAGGCTAAATATACAGATGATGATGGAGAAAGAGCAAGTGCAAACCTGCTTGCTTATGCTTCTTTCACTCCTAGTAATCGTCATATTCAAGTGACAACTAGTACAAAAAGTCCCAGAGTATGTGCTGCCTTTACTGTTGGTTTTTAATTAGGGAATATATTAAGAACTTTAATACAAACAACTTTCTTCAAGTTAAAATGTATTTTTCTGCTGTTTTCACCATTAAACATTTATACTTCATTGTATATTTATGGATGATAACAAAATTCTGATCTTCTGCATAAAACTTGTCATAGACCACGGAAATTCCTGATTTATAAACAAGATTCATTCCTAAAGACATTTTTATGCTGGATTTTTTAGAATAATAATAATAATTTAATAGCCCATATATTGTGGTAATATTATATGAATAACAACAGTTTCTGCTTCACCAGTAGCCAAGTGGTAATACTGGGGGTTCGGCCCAGGTTTGGTCTTATGCAAATGGGCTGGCTACATAATTGGTGTAAATGGTTTTCCTTATGTGTAATGAGAATATGAGGGAGTTCCCTTAAAAATCCCCCACAAAAACATACCGTTCCTTAAACTGATAACCCTTCTTTCCTTTGGCACATCTGAATAGCCTAACTTAACCCTTTGACGCGTGCTATATTATTTAAAAAATTTTTTAAACTAAAAACACTAGAAATCAAATATTATGATCCTACAGACAAATAATATATGAATTTAAAAAAATCTACTCCCGCCCATTAATCTGTGGGTGGTGGTTTCGCTGTGAAACCAGCGCGCGTCTAGGACTTTGAAACTTACTGAGTTAGCAGGAAAAAACAACGTACCTTTTTCCGTACGCATTTCCAATGAATGACGAAATTTTCGATTAAAAAAAATACTGCATTTAAAAATTGCATCAAATATAAATTTTTTACTTTATTTTACAAAGTATATCATCAGAAAAAAAATAATTTATGTAATTTTTCTGCAGCAGTGAAAACATAAGAACGTACATAATAAGGAAATTGGGATAAATAGATAAAAAAAACTCAATAGAATATTAAAAAGCTCAGTAATTTTTTTAATGTCAAAGAACTAAGTTATTTTTTATGGAACTGTTCAAAGCATGTTTTATCTTTTTGGTACATGCACAAGCCAACACTGCATGATTTCACTAAATTCTGCATTTTATTCCATGTTACATCTGCAATTCTGGAAGGACCTGGTAAATTTATATCATCGTTTTCTGACTGATCATCACTTTCATCTTCTATATTTCCATAAGCAGGAGGGAAGGGGGGTAAAGGAGTATTTCCTTCTCTTTCACTTTCATCCTCAGAGACCACTGATTCTGGATCTGAAGGTAATTCTTCAAGTAACGTTAATGCATCAGCTATTTCTAACCCTTTGCGAGGCATTTTGAATCTGAAGAGTAGAAAATAAAATATTGGCAAAATATTTTAAATTTAATTAAATTTTTGCGCGATTTCTATTTTTAATTATTCAAAAATATATTTGCAATTTTTTGGAACCACACAAAATAATTTAGAAAATCACAGTACTAGCATAGAGAGCAAGCATGTTGAAAGCAGAGAAAAATCTCTGGAACGAAAAATATTTTATGAGGGCAAATGCATGTATTGTTTGGTAGTACAATAGCTCTGTGATTTCAAAACCCCTTATCTATATGCGGGTGAAAATAAACACTTCTGTTTCAAAGCAGCAAACATTACTATAAAGAGCAGTGGTTTCAGGGCGCGACCACCGAGCCTCTAGGGTAATGTGAGCATTGTAACGCAATGCTCTAGTGGGGCAGTGGTCGCACCCTGAAACCACAAAGGAAATACCATAAATATACAAAGGTTGTTTATATATGCAGTTTAATTATTGCTGTATTTTTATTGTTTATGATAGAAATAATGATGTGCGATAAAAAAATTTAAATTTTAAGTTATTAATATAAATAAAAGGAAGTTATTTTTTCTCACTGAAAATGAATTTTAAAAGGCATCCGATTTAATACTAAGACCTAAAAAATGTATAGTTCTGCAGTAATTTTGCATTATTTAGAGGTAAAAGATAAGTAATCAATCGGTTTTCACTCAAACAGTTTGGAAACAAGAGCGGGAAAAATTTCGAAAATTGGTGGTTTCAGGGCGCGACCACCGCCCCTCAAAGGGTTAACATGTTAATAATTTTTCCATCCATTAATAAGTTACAAATATATTATGTTCTTTCTTGTAACTGGAACAAAAATAACATGAAAGCAAGCTTGTGAAAAAATACGAATAAGAGAAACAGAAGAAAATTTAGAGAAATATATCATATAATGGAAGTTGTATTGATGTCTTATTTACTGGATGGAATGCTTTTAAAACAAAAGATTAACATTGATTGAAAATGATGATGCAAATGATGCTGAGAAATTACAATTTGTTTCTACTGCTTAAGAAGGAATTGAATTTGATTCTATTACAATAATTTTGTATTTGATTTTGGTGTTTATTCCATTCATAAGACATTGTAGCTTCTGAAATATCAGTTTAAGTGTTTAATTATAAATTATCTTTATGCTGAACATTTGGAAACTCTTCATGAGTGTAGAATGCCATAAGGCTGGTCTTCTGAAACCCATAAATGGCTTGTGTGTAATTAGGTATCACATATGTAGTGTAAGAGATCGTACAATACAATATTTTTTACATACTAATATAATGTTTTACTTTAAAAATAAGGAAAATCATTATTAAAATAATGAATAATGAAAACAATGAAAATTATTATTATTTTAAATCTTAATGTTTATGTACATACTGTATAGAAAATCTTACTAGTCATGTAAACATCCAGTGTTTTATTTGTGGAATTCATTATGTCTTAGGAAAAAAAGAGATGAAAATCATAGATAAATGATTAAATTATTTCAAGAAATTAGTTTGTGGAAGTATTGCATAGTTTTCTTCTGTATTTAAAATGATTATTTGAATGAAATATTTGTAATAAACATGTTTTATTTATGTCATGAGGTTTTAGGAAAATATACTTCCTGCCAGACAGCATATCTGTTACTAAAAAATGTTTCTTATATAATTTTAAAATGTATATCAAATGTGACATTATTTTTGATAAAAAATAACTTGTATGAAATGATTAAAGAGTCTCAGTAATGACCTGTATGAAATCCCTTCTCCTCTATTAATTTTAAATTATTTGAAAACAAGCTTTGAAATTAATAAATAAACTATAATTATAGAAATGAAAAACTCATTTTTATTATTTTTAGGTAGGAGAGTATATTATCTTTCATGTCAGAGCTGATTACTATGTTGAACAGTTTTCATACTTGGTAAGAAATTTTTTAGAATAATATTTTGCATAATATTTCATTTTTATACTCTGCTTATCATTACATACCCTGTAGATATTTGAGTTATATTTTAAAATAAGCATAATAATAAGTAATTTTAATACAGTGCTTGCTGCTTATTAAAATTAATTTTGGTCTAAATATATTTGAGTGGCAACAATTTGTGTGTTGCAAGTTGTGATATCAACTTTAAACTTATCTAGTAACAGTTAATCTCATAATTAATATCTAAACTGATAATTAAAAGTTAAGGCTAAACTTATGTGTAAAGTCCTAAATTGAAAGTTCAGTGTATTGCAGTGACTCATCTGAGTATTTAAATTTCTGGAATCAATTCATAAATTCTGTTGACAAAAATCCTTCCATTTCAGATGTTAAAAAATTTTCTTATTTTAGTTGCCTTGGAGGCAAAGCTCTTTCTTGCATTAAATATTTTGCCATTACTTCAGGCAACTATAAGGCAATTGTTATATTAATCCAAGATACTTTTGGTCAGAAAGACGAGTTAATCAATGCCTATATGTCTAAACTGCTGAACATGACTCCATCAAAGAACACTTCTAATTTACAAGAGTTGAGAAATCTAAGCGCCAAACCTAAATTTATTCTCTTGAGAGTTGGGGTGTAACATCAGAAAATTGCTGTGTAATGCTTAGTGTTGCTATTTTGAAACGTTTTCATTGTGACCTCTCTTTGGAATTCAGCGAAAATCAATTCTTAAGCACTAATCATAATTTAAAGGAACTGATGTATTTTTTACATTGTGCCATTACTGCAAGGGAGAGAACATTTCATATACACTTTCCATCTTCTCCAACAACACATAGCCAGTATCAACGATTTAATCACAAGAACTTCGGAACTCTTAGTCACTATAAATTAGTTTCTTCTGCTAACAAATTGCTAGTTAATGCTACTCCAGACACTTGTATATTTTGCAGTCAGGGGCACTTCAGCCATGTATGTGAGAATTTGAACACGCCAAGAAAGAGATAGAAACTTTTGAAAAAAAGATGTTTATTATGTTGTGATATAAGTTGCTATGTAAAAACTGGCAAAAGAGCTAACTGCTCTTTTTTGTGAAGGTTAACACACCTGCACAATATGCTTTAAATTAGAAAATTCTAAAATACAAAGCATTGAACATAATTTTTAGTCAAAATCTGATGAAACAGTTGCTACTTCTGTGAATTATATGATGAATGACAAAAGAGGAATTTCTTTGCAATGTATAAAGGTAACATCTTTTCTTTCAAGATGGCAGATGAAGAGCTTGACGCGCTTTAGACGTCTCTTGAAAAACATTATGATATTATTAACACAGCACTTGCATCTAAATGTAATATGAATGGTGAGGTGCGGGAACATGCTAGGACTGCTTTAGGCGAGTTAAAATCTCTTATAATTCAAAATTTTGAATGATTACAATCTGATAATTACCGCGAAGCTTGCATGGCAAGTTTGAGAACCTCTGTTATGAGACCTTTTTATGCTGAGATGGTATTGCCATCTAGGGGAGAAAATGTAAACAAACAGTCAAATGACTGTAATTTGCTTGTTTCAGCAGCTGCTGGGTTAGGAAACTTTATATCCCTTGATGTTAAAAAACATTTGAAGGAAAAAAATTAATCCTACAGAAAAGAAATTAGGTATAAAAATATTAGGACGTTTTCTAATAACGGAATTTTAGTGCAATGCTCTTCCTCAACTGATTGTGATAAACTAAAAGATGAAATCAACAACAAACCTGAACTAATTTCTTCTCTTCCAAGACAGACAGAAAAATCCTGCTCTACTTATTTAAAATGTGCCAATTAAATGCCTTGGCTATAATCACAAAGGAGCTAACAGCAGAAATTCTGTTGCTTGCTTCAAATGTGCAAAAGAACGTAAAAGTGAGCACTGCCAAACTCAAGAAACTCAGGTTTGTGTAAATTGCATTCGTTATAATAGAAAAATCAATGATGTTGGCAAGAAAGTTGATGTCAAGCATAAGCCTTTCTCTGAAAATTGTTCTTCTCAAATGCTTATGAAGAATAGAATTATTTCTCAAATTAATTATGGCTAACTTTTCCATTTCTGTTCTTAAAATTATTCAACGTAATCTCCATCGTTCGAAAAAGGCTACTCAGCTGCTTGTTTTAAATATGGAAAATTCTAACACCGATATTGCTCTTGTTCAGGAGCCTCACTCTTATAAATGCTCTCTTCCCAACTTGCCTTCCTCTTAACGGGTTTACTTTGATGCTATTAGTGATACCATTAAAGCTGCTATTATTGTATGGAATCAAAAGCTGTCTACTCTGCTTGATATTAATAATCTTGATTATAATATGGTGTTCCTTCATGTTACTCTCAATACTCATGATTTTATCTTTTTTCTTATTATTTTGAACCTAATAGAAATATTGTCTTAGATTCGCATAAAATTAATGTAGCATTATCTTCAAAAAATTGTAACAGATTGATCTGGACTATGGATGTCAACAGTAAATCTGAAATTTGGCATAGTCCAGTTTCAGATTCCTGAGGTGTTAAACTTTATGAATTTTTATGTATGAATAATCTGCTCGTTATCAGCGAAGACTGTGGTCCTACTTTCTGTAGTATTCAAGGTTCAAGCTATATTGGCATTACGGTTGTGCGATCTGATCTTCTTGCAGATATTTTGCGTTGGTGTCAACCAGATCATGAATCCCTTTCTGATCACTGTACGATTGAGTTTGAAGTATCTGTAACTTCTAATAACAGTCTATATGACAGAAAAAACAGCACGATTGTCTTTAGTGTAAAGAAAACTAACTGAAATATTTTTTACAATGCATGTAAGCAGTCGATTGATGAGTTCTCACAGTTTATTGAGTGCTGTATGGATAAGCATACATTAAACTCTTGCCTAGAAAATTTTGTCTCGATTCTCTATAATGCATCCAAGGCTTCCATGCCTTTAAAAAAGCCAAGAGTTCATAAGGTACCTATGTGGACTACTGAAATCAAATATATGAGAAAGCAGGCTATCACTGCTAGACGTAGGTTTCAACAAAATTATAACCCTACTCTTAGAGGGGCATATCGTAATCCTCTTTTATATAAACAAAAATATCTGCACTTAAGACTGGTTACAGCTTTAAAGCTCCAGGATACAATTCTCTTGGAGAGAATTCCTAATGAGTATAAATGAAAGAAATGTTTGGAAAAAATAAATTTGAATGGTATAATGCAAAATTTCATGAAAGGAATGAAAGTTGGTGGAATTTACTCCCATCTGGTAATTGTACAAAGTCGCTAGAAGAAACAACTAATGAGGTTCTTAACAGAAGCTTTCTCACGGACCCTTTTAGCATGGATAATTCATTTCATAGAATGATTAGGACTGAAGCTTCATTAAATTACGTTGCTAATCCAGATCTTTCGTTCACTATGTCAGAAATTAATAGTGTTATAGAAAACCTTAAATGCAAATAAAGCTCCTGGTCTTGATTATATTTCAAATGAAATTTTGAAGCAAGTTCACAGAATGTTTTCAAATTTATTCTCCAAAATCTTCAATACTTGTCTAAAGCTTGGCTCATTTCCTCATTGCTGGAAAAGAGCGAATGTCGTTTTAATCCCTAAAAATAGTGGTCCTCATATCCCACATTTAGATAACTTGAGATGCATTAGTCTGTTTTCCAGTTTAGGAAAATGCCTAGAAAAGCTGTTTGTAATAGAATTACCTGGTTCTTGTGTAATAAAAAACTTTTAAACAAAGCACAGTTTGGTTTTACCCCTCATAAGAGTTGTTGTGAAGATGCTCTTTTGTACTTAGGCATAGTGGATGAAGGTAAGAAGAGAAATTTACACGCAGTTTTAGTGTTCCTTGATATCAAAGGTGCTTTTGACCATGCCTGGTGGCCTGAGATACTTGTTTTTTAAGGAAAGCTGGTATTCTGTGTAATATTTTTCGCCTTATTAAAGATTTTCTGCATGGCAGATCTGCATTGCTCTCCCTTGACCACGTTTCTTCCTCCCGCATTTTGGAAAGAGGTTGCCCTCAAGGCTCGGTTTCCGGACTTTTACTGTGGAATTTAATTATGAATGATCTACTCAATAGACTCTCACATTTGTCGAGTTGTAAAACAATTGCTTTTGCTTTTGTGATGATCTACTAATTTGCTTTCAAGAGAAGTGTCCCATTACTCTCCGGCTCTCTTTAATACGGCTCAAAACACCCTTAATATTATTTCCAGTTGGTCCAGAGAAACAGAAAAATTGGAATTCAATCCTAATAAATCTAAAAATTATGATAATTAAAAGAAAGCATGTCAGCTATACAAACCAAACAATTGTACTTGGATAATACCTTACTCGAAACTGTGAATGAAATTAAATATTTAGGCGTTATTCTTGATCATAAGTTTGTTGGGAAAATCATATGATTATATTTATCCAATAAGTGTGAAAATATACTTAGAGGACTTAATCGTGTCTCTTGCAATACTTTTGGTTTAAAATCTAATGTTATTGATATGATTTATAAGCAGGGTATTGTCCCCTTTATTTGCTATGCTTCTAGAGTGTGGGGAACAGCTGTAGAAAAGAAGATTAATTCCCATATCTTTTTCAGAATTCAAAGAAGAATTTTACTAAGAGTTGTGTGTGGCTACAGAACAATTAGCTATGAAGCCTGTTTCACAATTTCAGGATTTCCTCTGATTGACCTTCATGTTTTAAATGATAAAAAGTTTAAAGATACCATCAGAAAATTTATGTTTGATACCAAGGTGTCATTTGAAGGTCTTCCTCATTCAAACAATTGTTTGCCAATTCAAACTATCATTTATGACAATTCCGTTGATGATAATTTCCCTGTTATGTGTTATACAGATGGCAGTAAAATTAATAATCGAGCTGGATTAGCTTATGTCATTTTCCATCATGGTTCTGAACTGGAATATAAACTCTTTAGTTCCAATGAATGCAGTGTTTTCCAAGCCAAA